GACGATATTAATCATTCTGAAGTCCAGGAGTGCTGATCATAAATTGTATGGGGGACCTGGCTTAGAACCTCCCAGGGTTCCCATTCATCAGCACGTGTTCATTTCCACCTGGATAGGCGGTATAGAAAGGGTCATTTATCTCAGAACTCAGGCTCTGTGACCCCCTTCCTGACTAGTTGTCATAAGAGACATTCGCTAACAAATAAATATTTGTTCTACCCTTTGACATAAAGACCTAAATTAGCTGCCGTTTCTAACGTCTGATTCCCTCAAGTGGCCAGAAGGGAGAATGCACATCGTGCATGCCCTCATGTACAGAACAAAAATGGGATTGACAGCAAATATGGGGGGTCACATCCAAGCAGTGTCGAAAATGAGAGACGCTCCCTTTACTTCATGACCATGAGCTCAACCCAGACTTATTTTTTTTAACCATATATTAGAGCTAAAAATGTCAACCCATGATTTGGAAACTGCCAGAATTGGAAAGTGTTTAAGAAGCACCATTTTTAAAAACGAAAATATGCACCGAGCTGCAGAAATATTCACCTCAAATAAAAACTCAACAAACTCCAGATCAATATATTTCAAGAGGAAAAGTGGAAATCAACTCCTTTATGCCGACATCACAGCACAGTCTCCCTTCCATCCACTGTCAAATTCCACAAAGGGTTGAATTTGGTAATTTAGTTTTCAGGGGGAAAATACACCCTGATAGAGAGGAGAAGAAGACAGAGCTTGACGACAATAACCAGAAGGGCTGCCTGGAAACTGGATGGCAATCTTGAATTTCAGAATTTTTTCCCTATATGACCTTATTTTGTAGCTTCTGGGTTTTTTCCCCTTCTCAAATTATCAAGTGAGAGAAGGCAGGCTCTCATGTACAGACGCAGGCTCTTGACCATGGCGACATTTTTGCAATATTTCTGCCTTTAACCTAAACATCATTTGGATTTTGTAAATTTCAAAGCTCACCCTGTTTCATTGCAGCATGTGGTTTTAAAACTGCGAGGGGCTTCCAACTGATCAGTGTGTGAGTTTACTTTATGTTAAACACCCCAAAAAAGCGCAATCCATGAAAGCAATAGGAACTTAAGTAAAGCCTTTCCAAATCCAATTTCAGTAGTAAACCTGTAAGCCTTTTTGCCAAAGTGTAAACTAAAGGGATTAAAAGTCTTGCAAACATGATCCTTTTAAAATTGCAACTGTAAATTTTACATTTGTTTTTGTTTTTTTAATCATGCAACTGAAACCAAAGTAGAAATGTTCCTCTCCAGACTTGCAATTCACAGGGTTGTTTTTTTTTTGTTGTTGTTTGTTTTGTTTCTGGAGAATCAACTCAGTTGGTGCCAAGTTCTGTTCTCTGAGCTTCACTTTCCTAACAAGTAACAGTAATTCCTAACGAGATGACCGATGACTGAAAGACACTTGTTCCTGTGTTTGAAAAAGAATGCTTGAGTCTGACCTTTATGAATGGCATTGTTCACCAAATGCCGCTGAAGCAGCAGGGATGGAGACTCATGCAAACATCTGTCCCCAGGACTGTTGGCTGCTCCCTCCCTACAGGCTGCTTGATGGAGAAAAATACCTATACGTCTGGTGATTTGTGTTCAGAATACAAGAAAAATTCTTATAACTCAATCATAAAGATGAATAATCCAATTTAATATTAGGCAAAATATGTGAATAGGCATTTACTTGTTAAGAGATATGATGTGCCATGAACAGAGCACATGTTAAACCTAGTGTAAAAGCAAACTGAAGCCACAGTGAATTACCACTTCACACGGCGGCAATACACAAACAGTAGCATGTATTGACAAGGACGCAGGAAACCTGAAACAGATACGGTGCTGGTGGGAATATAAGATTGTAGAGGTACTTTTGGGGGGTGGGGGTCATCTGACTCAGTGATCGCATTTCCCAGGGTCTATACAACTCCATACGGAGATCTTCATAACATATCTACATAGAAACAACCTAGATGTCCTTCAGCTGATGAATGTGTAAACAGAATGTGGTAAGATCATACAGCATGACACTCTTTCATAACAAAAATTAGGTAGTATATGAATTGCCACACAGAAGAACCTCAAAAACACAAAGAATCCAGTAGCGAACATTGTATTTTCTCTGCTCAGTGAAAGAAGCCAGTCTCATAAGACCCCCCACCTTACATAAGTGTGTGTGTGTGTGTGTGTGTGTGTGTGTGTGTGTGTGTATGAAAAGTCTGGAAAAATGAAGTATATAGAGAAAGAAAGAAGCATAAGCTTCCCTTGAGCTGAGGGTGTACATGGAGAATGGACAACAGACACAAGTCATCTTCAGGATGTTGAAATCATTCTAATGGTACACTGTGGTGATGGCTGTTTAGCACTGTAAGTACATTAAGGGGTTTTGAATTGTTCTTACATCTGGTGAAAAGGGACTCTTTGTCATGAAAATTGTATCTCAATAAATCAGTTTTCTTTTAAAAAGGAGAGGAGTGGGGTCTCAGGGTAGCTCTGCAAGCTGGGCCACAGTAAAGAGCTCTGCCGTTTTCATTTGAGAAAACCATGAAAGGGTTTTAGCAAGGGGTGGGTGGCAGGTACAGTGATGAAGAAATGGGAATCTCATTGTGAAGAAAGCTGTGGCTAACTTAGGCAAACAGCGTGGCTTTAGAGGTGGGTCAGGCAGATGTTTTTCCTGTGTTCACCAAGTCCTATGTTCCCAGCTCCAGTTTCTCATTCATTTGCATGTATTTACCCATGTGTCGTCTCTTTATATGCTCCACAATGAATTCTGAAATGAGAGTGATGCCTTCTTTAGCTATGCATCTTTAGGATCCCACACACGGTCTGGCATTCACCTAGCTCTCAAATAATGCTTCTGTGGCAAATGATGCTGAAAGGAGAGCAGACTCAGGGGAGACATTCAATCAGAAATCTCCCATTCTCCAATGGTTTGACAAACTGCCTGTCTTTTGTTTCAGCTGGTAGTCTTGACAACGGGATCATAGTTTGGTCTTTGGTTGGAAGATGCTGTATATCTTGTCCTTGTGTTAGCTGCTCTGACTGAAGTTCTTTGGGACACAATATGTCAGGAAAAAAAAAATCAATCACTCAAAACTATTTGTGATGGGAACACATTCTCTGTGTGTCTGCTCAGTGGATGAATCCTGGGAACACAGTGATAATTTAAGTATTACTATAGTTTTGTGTCCTTTTGCCCTACAGTCTTAACAGTTATTAAAACTGATTATGCTCTTAAACTGATGTACACTATACATCTGTTAAGAATAAAAGCATTTTGGGGACATGCTCCTGTAAATAGTTCCTCTCTTGCTTCATTTGTTAAGAGAAAAAAAGGAATACTCTTGACCCATCAAGTATGTGAACACAAAGCCAGACACCTCCCAGCTTCCATCTGAGAGAAGAGCCTTCATTAAGTTCAAGGGCATGTAAAACATCCACAGGATATTTTAAACGAGAAGTCAAATCCAGAATAATGACCACGATTCTCCCAACGATCTCAAAGAAGAAGTTTTCTGTTGTGTAGAGGGTCAGTAATGACGCTTAAAAGCAAAGCATGTTTTTGAAAATTAATTGAGCAGAGCAATTTCCTATCATTTTATTTATTTGGAAACCTACTAAGCCACAGGGGGGGAAACTGGCATCCATTAAATGCCATACACATTTCTCTGCACTCTTGAACACACTCCGTTCCGCAGCCGAAGCCGTGGAGTTCAGTGAGTTACTGTCTCTTAGCCATTCTCTGCACGTGATTTCTGACCTGTTAGACCCAGACAAAGTTAAGTAGACATTGAGAAAATTTGTCTAACAACCATTTCAATCAACTGTACAGTTTAGTATTTTACAAGTTCAAATAGACCAGTGATCTAAATTGATGGACTGTTTTTGCAGTTGCGTCTTGGGGGCAATGGTTGGCAAGCATCTCCATGTGCTGTAGTGAACTCGACTAAGAATCTCACCCTTTTAGCCAATGTCATCTTCTGGTTCATGCAAGGAGCCTGGCATTTTCAAATCGCCTCATTAAAGCTGGGATAACTTTTCACAATTTGCTTTTTTCATTGAGCTCTTCCTAAAATGACTATCTGATGCCCTGAGGTTTGGATATATTTGAGTAATTTAAAAGAAGAAAAAGAAAAGGCACCAGAGGTAAAAAAAAAAAAATGTCTCTTTCATGTTGCTATCACTCAAAAATAAAAGCAGATTTCTCTCAGTCTAGACCCCTACCCACAAATCAACTTTGGGAAGCATCAAACAGTAATTTAATTTCAAAAGAAAAATTTTGGAAAATGACATAAGCCATTCTGATTGTATTGCTAAACAATTTGGAATTCATCTCTAGCACAGAGGCTTTATAGAATCCATGTGCTGGTTCAACGTTTTGACTTTAATAATTTAGATTATAGGTATGATACAAACCAGCTGCATCTTTCTGGCTGTAAGCAATAAGTTTCCATTCCCCAGCTGGCCTGGACGTCAGCTTTGTGAGCCAGAGGGCCAGTGACCTTCTTATGTATGGTAGCTATCTACTGTAATAGAATCTGAGACAGGAAGATGCCCTGAAAAGTTGTGTGGTGTGGTCCTGAACTCACCCAAATCGGCTTTGTGTGCTGTTGGAGCATTATCTCTACTGAATATTTTAACTCCAAGGTGTTATTTAAAACTCAGGAAAGATGCTATGAAGGAGCCCAAAGTTTGGATTATAGAAGCTCAATTTTTTTTTCCCAGTAGTCACAAAACTTCATAGCTTAGCCATCCAAGTGAAGAAGAAATCCATTAACAGGTGTTGAAACCAGTATACCATGCTTTAGCAAATCTCAGGCTTTGAAAGAGTGTGTATATGCCCATTCTTGAATGGCTAGAGATGTCATTAAGTCTGAATTGACAAAAAGCATCATGTAATGTTCTCCTGGCTGTGATCTGAAAGTCAGCTAAAATAGCAGAGGCAGCATTCTCAGAAAGAGAGCTAAAGGAAAGCTGAATGGTACTCACCTCTGCAGTCAGCTACTCCTGGAGTCAGGAGGAGAGGAGGTGTAGGGAGCAGGACAGGCTTAGCTGGATATGAAGACTAGGAAGAGTCATGTCAGCGGATGGAGCAGTGACTGCTGACACAGCATGCAGACTCGGTGGTGAGGCCAAAGTCCCTAGGGATGGGACAGCACCTGCAAGAGAGCCGCAGCACCCTCACTATGCCCTGTAGTCTCATACCCTAACCATGGGATAACCCTATCTCATCCAGATCTTCTCAATGGCCTCGGCAGGTACCTTCTCCTCTTCATAGGCACTTAGGGTCTTGTCCTCTGAGTGAACAGGAAAAATGGCCAGGAATCCACTCTGTTACTCTGCAACTTGTGCACTCATGTAGCCCGGGATCCAGCTTGCACCTCTATATGCCAGACTGTAATGCTCAGGCAGGTCAAAACGAGACTGTTAAGTAAAAGATAACGTCTATTGGAAAGAACAATTCAGCGACTTTAGGCAGTGATGGGTTCTGGGTTAATTTTAATGTGTCAGGGAAAATAGTGATGTAGCCATGCATGATAAAAACAGCTTTGGCAGGAGGATGGAAGCTGAATGCTTGAAGGCTGGCAGTATCCCCAATGTATCCAGCTTTAAGGAAATAGCAGGGCACCCAAGGATGTAGAGATATCCCAATGACAAGTAGCCTCAGCTGGACCCCAGATGATAATGTGGTTGGCAAAGTCACACTGCTTGCAGCAGACACCACACAGATGCATTTTGTCCCATTTCTATACACGTTGGGGGTATGTCTACATACCTACAAGGTTTTGCCTCAAGAAAGTACAGGATAGAAAGAAAAGATCAATAGTACTGTTTTAGCTCTGAAATTGATGCAGAGTGAGGAATATTTTATCCTTATTAAAAATAATGCTGTAACTTTAGTTTAAAAAGAAATAATGCACTTCAGTAAACCTCTAACTAAAAGCTCTTATGTACAAGGTCAAAGCTAAGAAAAGATGAAGGGCTTCACCACATCTAGCCAAGGAGGGAATCCTGCCTGCAGCTGTAGGTCAGTACAATACAGGAAAGGAGGTGGAACTGGGAGATGGTAGTGTGACATATTGCCGGGATCCATTCTAGAGTGCTTACAGAACACCCGCCCTCCTTTCTGTGTGCCGCCACCGCGGATGATGCCTAACGTCGTCAGCATGCCTGAAGCTCTCCTTCATAGGAGACTCAGGCATGCTGGAGTGGAAATAATTCAGAGCTCAGACCCAGAGAGGTCACACTCTACACTGAGCCAAGCTCTCTTCCACTTGAAGCCTCCGGGAGGTGGGAGGGGGTGGAGGTAACAGGGAATGGGGAAGTTGACTGCATATCTGAGTACTGTCTGGGTTTCCCTTTGGTGAGATGTCTCTGGTGTCGCACTGTAGCATCTGTTCCCAGGCAGATGCCTGGAATCTAAGCACTCTTTCTGCACCCAGCACTGCCACATAACCTGCCTCCACCCACGGGGATATTCACCTAGGATCTCCTCTAGGTAAAGCCCAGGGCAATGGCAATTACATTTCCCTGTGTTCTTTAATACTCCTGCCCAATGTGGGAAATACCTAGGCTACTTCCACCAGAACTGCAGGTGAGGAGCTAGCACATGTTCGTTCTACTTTTGAAATCCTGATCCGAAATTCCACCGTAGGACTTCCTTTACTCTCCATAAGGTGAAGCCCCAGAGGGGGACCCCAAGGAATGCATTCAGCAGCTGTCTGCCTTTCTCTTTATCGGTAGCTTCTCCTGGTCAGATAGGGGAGGAACGAGAAGATTACATTCCACCCATTTGACCTTTCCCTTCTGATTTTGGAGATAGATTGTTTTCTGGTATTTACCAAGGGAGTGACTGAGCCCAATGTAGTAGTTTATGTCTCTCATCAACAGTAGGGATCGTTAGGCAGGAGGATGACCATGAGTTTAGTTAGGGTCAACCCGGGATACATAGTGAGTTCCAGGCCAGCCTGAACTACAATGTGAGAACTTGTCTCAAAAATACAGATAGACAGACAAGAATCGAATGTTTGAAACTTAGGGAACACTTGCACTCTCAAGACTCAAGCTCTTGCAGACTCAGACATTTAGATTCAACTCATAGACCAATCACTATCTGCAATTGCCTTTATGTTTTTAATTGCATCCATTCTCCCTTACTTAAGAGCACCGGAGGAGGGGAACCATGGCACCCTGGGACATTGTGTGATATACATCCCTTAGGATATAAATTATTTCACATCTCTAGAAGTTGATCATTATTAACAAGAATGCAAATAAATTTCACCCAATGTAGATGCTCTCTGGCCACCTTTGCACGTTAGTTTCCTTTTGCAATGTCATAGCCCTCTATGTGGCTTTAAATTCTCCTGTGTTCTCGATATAACATCTTTTCCTCATTAGTTAATGGGGTCATATTTGTATGATATTAGATCATAGAATAATAATTCTTTAAATTTCCTTTTAAAAACCTTTTAATGGCACATACACATGTGTGTGCATGGTGGTGGGGAATTTATAAGCACATGAATGCAGGCATCTGTAGAGACCAGAAGAGGGCATCTGATTGCCTGGAACAGGTGCTATAAGCCTTTGGAAGCCTCCTGATATGAATGCTTGGAAGAAAACTCAAGTTCTTCCTCTGTAAGACCAGCACGTGCTCTTAACCACTGAGTTCTTTCTAGCCCTGGACTTTTTTTTTTTCATTCTCATTTAACTGATGGAAAGATTAAAGTTCAAAGCAATATATCAAATTGCCTGTCTTAGTTAGGGTTGGCATTGCTATGATGAAACACCATGACCAAGGCAGCTTATAAAAGAAAGCATTTAATTGGGGACTGGCTTACAGTTTCAGAGGGTGGGTTGTGGCAGACCAGCTGGGAGACCGGCTCCCACATTTTAACCCAGGATACTCTGGAGAAGTGAGGAATAGGAGTTATAAATAGGACAGAGAGGGGGAGAAACAGGTAGAAACACAAGGTAGCCTCGGGAGGGCCTGGATCCTAATCCACCGGCCCCTTTTGTCTCTTCTGAAGGGCTATGTATAGCAATGCCAAGGGGTGGAGCAAAAGACCTCATCCCAGCACAGCCAAGTGCAGACCCTTTCCAATCACCTGATAACCATGCACATGGTCAAGCAATCCTCTAATACAGCCCTGCTGGGTAAAGCAAGCTCAGATCTCACTCAGAAACCTTTGTGGGTCTCTACAGTGGGTCCATCCATGATCCTCATGACAGGGAGCATGATGGTAGACAAGCAAGCATGGCACTGGAGCAGTAACAGAGCTCACATCTTATCTGGAAGTTCTAGGCAGAAAGAGAAAGTGTGTGTGTGTGTGTGTGTGTGTGTGTGTGTGTGTGTGTGTGTGTGTGTAGTATAGTGTGACAGGTTAATGCCAGATGCCTGCCTCTACTGCCTTCCACTTTATATTTTGAGAGAGTTCTCTCACTGCATCTGGAGCCCATTCATTGAGCTGGACTGGTTGTCCAATGAGTTCCAGGAGCTGTGTCTCCATTCCTCTCTCAGAGCTAGGTTATGAAAGCATAGCCACACATCAGGCTTTTACATGGCACTGGGGATGTAAACTGAGATCCCTTGCTTACCTGGCAGGAGCTTTACCACCTGAACCATCTCTCCAGCCCCAGGTTAGTTTTTGAGTGATAATTATCCCATAAAAAACACTATGTCCTCTATGTCCAGACACAAAACCAAGGCTCCTTGGAGAAGAACAGCATTGTTTCAGTCATGTTGTGTGCTAGCATCTCATGGTGCATCATGCAACTGCATTTCAAATGGACCAACATTCCTTGAAAATATTTGAATTCTGTAAAACAAGCCCAACTGTATGGGTCTATTCATATGATTAAGCAGATTTTGACAAATTCAGAGGGAAGATAAATGAAGACCCCAAGAAATCAGAAGAGCTGTTGTCAATCAGCTGTTCCTGAAAGCACTATGTGGTTACCACCTTAGGGTTTCTTTAACAAAAAGGAGTGAGCCCATGACTGTCAAAACAGGAATAAACAGTGGCAGCCAAGCCTGCCAGATGCTGCTCATGGAGGATGTGTTAAGGCAGATCTTGCTGAAATTAGACCTTCCTGGGACCATTTATTCCCAAGGAATAAAAGTCAAGAGTGGTCAACGATTGTCATGAAGAAGTCATGGTCATCTGTGCCCATTAGCCGGTCTAGGTATAGACAAGTAAGTCTATTTCATCAAGAAGATGTCATGGGATGTCTCCTGAGACTACACAGTCAGACCTTGACTGTGTCATCTGCTTGGGATGCTGGACATGTTGTGATGCTGAAGATGACAAACTGTAAAGGAGGAGAAGAGATTTCTGCCCCAAAGACAGCACTGAGCTAGTGCACAGGGAGCATGCCCCCACCTCAGACCTCCACGTGAGTTGACTCAGTGTCCCTCATTCACTCCTAGGTCCTCTGTTATTTATGGTGCAACTTTAATTTAATGCATTGTTATTTTTAAGTTTAAAGGGATATTTTCAAGCGAGCTAGTCCTTGACACTGTTGGGCATTTCTAAAAGAAAACCAGTCTGTACTATATACTGAAGGAGAAAACCTTTGTCGAAATGGCTCTGATTGCTGTCACTAGTCAGCTGTTTAGGCCTAGCCCAGGCCCACAGTAGCAATTCCTGTAATGTTCTGCATTTCTTCTCTTCTTCAAGTTTCTCCTAGAGATGCATGGTGCCACCATATTTTAAGTCCCCGCATAGACCATTCAGTCTACACATTCCCCTGGGCTAGAATATTCCTATTATTACTTTTCAAAGAGTGAGTCTGATTCATAGATGAAAATGGTTAATGAGCGAGACACTTTTTTCTTCGCTCTCACGCATATTCTTTTCCTCCTCCACCGCTGCCTCCTCTGTCCTCTTCCTCTTGGTCTGCCTTTTCCTTCTCTCACCCTCCTTTTTGCATTAAGAACCCAGCTTTGTACATACTAAGCACACATCCCATCACCGAACTGTACTCCAGGCCCTTCCCTCTTGCCTAGTGTCTTTGTCTCTGGCTTTATTTTCTGCTTAGTGTAATTCACAATGGTATACTAAGTAAGTTATTTTAATGCTTTAAACCTACTCAGTTTGCCTTTATAATAACCATTTACCTTTGAGGAAATATCCATTTTTCTAAATTTAGAGTATCTGAGCTATTAATGCATTAAATTTTTCTTTTTCTTTTCCGTATTAATTATATTGCTAAACAGCATTCTTCCACTTGAGGTCTTGATAGCTTAAAATAAGTCAAAACCAAATAAAAACAAACACATTCTCTAGCGTAGTGTATGGCACGTAGTATAGAGTAGGCTGCTAACACGCAGCAGGTTGTCAGAAGGCAAATGGAGAAACTGTGTTCTGGTATACTTGAATTAAGACCTGAGTACATTGTGCAATATTAAATAGTAGCAATGCTTATGATAGGTTTGTCTTTTGTAACCATAGTTGGATGTGTATTATAGGACATGTGGTAAGTGAGTCTGGAGAGGTGCCTCAGTCTGTAACGTGCTTGAAAGCATGAGGACCATAGTTTGTTAACCCATCATTCACAGAAAATCTGAGTGCAGCTGTGTGTCTGCAAGCCCAGGCCTGGGAAGGCAGAAACAGAAGGGTCCCTAGGGCTCATTAGTTAACCAACCATGCTGAATTGGTGGGTTTCAACTCCAGTGACAGTCTATCTCAAAAACAATGATGAGGAGAGTGACTGAGAAGGACACCTGACACTGACCTCTGTCCTCCACACGTGTGAATACATGTGAATGTGTAACCACAGGTGTGTGTGTACACACCCACAGGAATATGTACATGGAACACGTGCATACACACATAAATATTTATCCACAAAGGATGTATGGTAAACATGGACAAACGCAATGATGAAAATCGACATTATTATAGCATATGTATTGTCTTAATATTGAGCATGAGCTGACTAATACAATGTCTACAAACCCACAGAGGAGGCCCTGCAGCATGAAGCTTAGGGCTGTAGAACGTTGGGGTCAGTGAGGTTGGACGTGTCCTCGAGATTGTATTTAACGCTCCCTGAGTTCACACTGCTGTTCCCACCTTTTAGGAGCAATGAGAGTCTATAGCGCCCACCTCTTACCACTTCCTATGGCCCCCTCTCACTTCAAGGTGTTAAATCGCCATGTTTCCTATTCACAGCTTCTTGGAAGTTTTGGGGCAGAAGAGGAAAAGCCCACTTTGTTTCAATTATTTGCTCCCACGTGTCCTGTTTGAGTGATTCCCTGGTGCCGCAATTCCATTAGATAATTTAGGAGATTTAGTCACTGCTTCTCTTTGCCAGTTGGGGAAGAGAGAGGCTGTGGGGAATAGTCATGAAGGTCCGGCACAGAGCTAAAAGCTGTCTTGCATCTGGTAAAACAGAGTCTTAGCAACCGAGGCGGCCATCCTTCCCATGCTGGGATTTTGATTTTCCTTAGGGCCACACTACCTAACAGGCACTTCTGAATGTCAGAAACATCTCCAGAGGATGAAAGTGTTTTGCTATAGCACTTGCTGTGGTGGAACATTTTTAGTCTAGTTTATTTCTGATTTGGACAAAATTCCCAACATAAAGACTGCCAGTAAAACCCTAATTTCTCAAAACTGTTCACCTGTGTCTCAGCTCTCTTGAGTTAACCTGCCAACAATGGGATCATCAACCGGGGCTGACCTCCAGGCTCCTTCCTCTTCAATATGGTCACAGTGCTCTTCTGAAAGGTCTAAGCGACAGAGGCTCCGCTAAGGAGTTCCACGAAAACATGAACCCGTTGTGTGTGTCTGACTCTTAGAGTTCGCATCCCAAACTGAGGGGAATGTGGGACTTGTCGGGGGCTGTGACAGATGCTCCCCTGGCTCTTGGCTTAGATCCTTTCTGCCATTGTTAAACAATGTGATACTTTCTTGAAGGTCATGAGGGAAAGTGAACTCATTTGAGGATGGGGATAAATCAGTCACCAGGGAAGAGAAGGCAGTAAGCCATCAAAAGGAAACATGATATTTCCAGGAATTTGGGAAAGTAACTTTTGTATTTGATGTATCACCAAGATTAGCCGTCCATCCTCAGTGTCAAACCTGCTGGGCAGCTCTTCTTATCATTAGCCAATAAAAGTCTGCTATCGTAGGTTTTCCTGGTCTATTCTCAGGGTTATAGAGTTTCTCTGAGTTTTTTTTTTTTCTTTCCTCAAGATTATCCTGCCTAACAAAGGAAGGAGTTAGTGTCCTTGACCGTCAGCAAAAAAGTTACAAGCAGGGTTAAAATACATGATTGAAGAACTGAACATTTAATTCCATACAGAGGTATTAAAGGAAAGATCCCTTGAGCCAGCAGACCATAGGACAATGGGTCAGCAATTTCACATCTATTTCTGACCCTGTCATTGACTCAGTGTACTGGGGAAGTCAGAGGCTCCTGTTTTTCAAAACTTTATTGCACTACCATAGCAGTTATTAATTATTTGGTTAAAAAATGATGTTTGCTGAGCACCCAAAGTCTAGAAGGCCTTTTACCAGAGCAGGAAGCAACATGAATTTTTGGCTTTAAGTAAAACGTAAGAGTATCAAACACCAGCAAAAAGTGAGCAGAGATATATACAAGAGGGAAGGACTAGGTTGTGAAATTGGAAATCTTCATTTTAGGACCCCTGAGAAGGTTCCCTTTTCTTTTTTTCTTTCTGTGTATATACATGGGTATACGCCTATGTGTGGAGGCTGAAAGACAACCTCAGGTGTTAATCTCGGGTGTTACCTGAATGTCAGCGACTACCTTTGAAACAGCTTCACGTATTGGCCTGGAGCTCACTGATATGGCTGACTGAGTGGCCAGCCAACTCCAGGGATCCTTCCCACAAGTTTGTGCACACACAAGAGGCTAACTCCATTTTCTTGTACTTGGAACACGACACATTTTGCTTTGAGCCTAAGGCAGTATGTCCATTTTTGAAAATGGGAAAACTGAGCGGAGGAAGAGCTTAGATGGTTTGCTCATGCTCGCGGCTCTAGCACCCCAAGCCTGCAGCTAGTGTCTGGCTCGTGGAGCTGAAAGTATTTGATTAAGTGAGTGTTAATACTGACCGCACACACATGGCCATATATGTATGAATGTGTGCTTGTGTTTGTCTGTGTGTACATATATATGCATATATATGTGTGTGTGTATATATATACACATATATGTTTGTATGTGAAAGTACAATGATGAAACTTATTATTTTGCACAATTAGTATACACCAATAAAGTTTTTAAAAGAGTTAACAGGAAGTAAAATCCAGCATTATTGAATCCAACTAAATGTTCAATATAGCATAATTTGGTGACAAATAATAAATTTTTTCTAATATTAAAAAAACCCACTAATAGCAAAACTTCCGAGGCTATGACATGACTTTTGATAACATCATGAGTCTTAAACCAAAGTAAATATGATAGTCCTACACCATGGTGGACAGTATTATTACTGCTGAGCTTCACAACTTTCCTAGATACATGCCTGATTTTAGCCTATCATCACTCCCTCATGAATGGAGATGGCTAAAATGAGGGATAGGAAGATGATTCAGTGGGTATGAGTGTTTGCTACAGAACAAGGGTGGAAGTTCAGATCCCCAGAACCCACATGAAAAACCAGGTCTTGTAACCCCAGCCCTGTGTAAGGTAGAGAAGGAATATTGTTACAGCTTGCTGGCAGCCAGTTTAGACAAAACTTGTGGGAGCCCGTTCTCGGGTTCCTCATGGCTTTACCCAGCAGGTCCGAATAGAGGATGATCAGGACCACGGGCCTGAGTGCAGGTGTCTGAGATGGTCTGCACTTGGCTGTGCTGGGGGAGGAGGTCTTTTGCTCCACACCTTGGCGTCTCTATAAAAACCCTGGCTCAGAGACAGTCGGGGGCCCGTTGGAATAGGTTCCAGGCCTTCTTGAGGCTATCATTTATTTTCTATCTGTTTATCTCCACAATATTCTCCACAATAAATCCTTCTATCTAATATTTCCTGCTGCTCGCACTCAAGAAAACTCTGGGGAGCTGTGGGGTCGGTGGATAAATGCCCCACAGAATGGCGCCATGAACAGGGACTAAAGAAAAAAGAAAAAAATAGGGACTAATAAAAAAAGGGGGGACTAAAGACAAATGATCAGGGACTAAAGACAAAGTAATAGGGACTAAAGATAAAGGAAAATAATAGTTTTATTACAGAGTTTTCGGTGAAAGTGCTGAGTCAGCCCTGCCAGTGGAAAGGCATGCCGGTGTTATGGAAAATATATATATTTTTATATATATTATTGAGAGGCAGGCGTTTTATCCTGGAGAGAAAAGGAAAGCGGACTGGAAGGATGTTCGATGCTGCAGCGAAATTCTCTTCTGTCAAAATTTTCTATCTTCTATCCCTTTCTCAATTTCTATCTGTGAAAAATAAGTATAAGGTATAGGGTAGTCATATAGTTTAGGAAAAACTTAGAAGTGTAAGATTGTGTAGGAAAAAATAAGTAAGGCAACTAGACAGGAAAACTCTTCAATTTTCTAACTTTGGGGGCTATGAATACAAACTGGGGGAAAATCCTTCTTTGGGCTTTACGGGTAGTAAAAAAAGCTCTTCTTTGAGCTTATGGGGAAGAAAAAGTTTCCTATGGAAGCTTTTGACCTGGGGACAGCTGAAATGCTAAATCCAAGCGGCAGGAGAAAGTAATTTCTCCCTGAGGCAAAAATGAGGGTGTAAGAAGTCAAAGTTTAAAGTTGGAGAGTTTTGGAAAAAGTTGGTCTTTCTTTCTCCTGGGGGGAAAAATCTTTCTCTTAAACTATAAAGCTTTTCTTGGAAAATTTGGGGGGAAAATCTCTTTTAAAAACCTTAATCTTTCTCAAAAGCTCTCAAACTTAAAAACTAAAGCCTTTCAGAACTCTTTCTCAGAAGGACAAAAGTTAGAATCACCTGAAGATATTAGTATGGGGACCGCCTGTGATCAGCTTTAAGGGAAAACAACAAACCTCTTAAGATGGTGAAACCTCTTCAAGTTCTCTTTCAAGCTTTAAAAATCATCCCTGCAATGCAGGAGACAAGGAAACAGGCATTCAAGAAATGACTGCTTTACAGATGGGAAACAAACTTAAAATCTAGCTGTCTTACAAAAGAGTTGCTTCACCTGAAAGTTCCTTATAAGAAATTAATGCTAAATGTTACAGCTGCTAATGATATCAGGAGTTAAAGCTAATGAAGTGAAAATACTGAATCCTGAAACTCAAATGAAATGGAAAGATCCCTGCTCGGGATTATGGAAGGGTCCTGATCCTGTGTTAATATGGTTGAGGACATGTTTGTGTTTTTTCACAAGAGGAGAATGAAGCTCGGTGGTTACCGGAGCATTTGGTAAGGAGCATGGAACTAAGGAAAGTCAGTTCCAATGACGTTCCTATAAAGGAACCAGAATGAAAGTGGCTCGATTAGTGTTTCTGAGGTTTTGTCACTGGTTAATGCAAACAGTGAGAAAACAGAGTTCAGAGCTGTGCCGCTTTTGTATGGTGATATTTTATTTGTACTGAAATGTGATTTTAATTTTGTATTAATAAATAAAGTTGCCCTGGGGTCAGAGCTATTAGAGCCATAGCAAGAGCGTGGTGGTTAGAAGAGCTAGGTAGATTTCTGTGTGTTCAGGGATACAGCCAGTATTGGAGACATATGCCTTTAAGACCTGGAGGGCGGTACTTACAGGCAGTGATGAGGCAGTCATGTGGTTGGGTTTACAACCAATGAGAAGGCAGAACAGAAAGAATATTTAAACACGGACAAACAGGAAGTAGCTCTCTCTCGGGGAAGCTAGGAGCACTGCAGGAGGTAAGATTTTATCTCTGAGCTCTGACCTCTCGGCTTTCTCTTTTACCTTGGCTCTGTGTTTCTTATTTTAATAAGACGATTGGTTACATCTACACTTTTAGCTTTACTAGCTTCTTTAGAAAAATACTTTATATCACCTAATAGCTGTGCAGTATTTGGCGAAGAGCTTTACAGCAGCTAAATATGAAGCTCAGCGTGAAGTGAAGTTTTTTGGTAGAATGAACCAAAAATACTGCTGTAATAGAAATGTTTGTCTGAATTGAAGCACTTAGGGGAGCTACTATGAATTTGGGTGAAGGGACAGCCTCTAGTTAAAAACCGTTTACCGATGACAGTGCATCTCTGCCGGTCCAGAAAGGCTGAGAGAACTCAGCAACTTTGGAGTGTGGCTTTGTCTGGAGAATGTTACAGTCCCCTAGCAACAAGTAACACAACTCTATAACGACAACACTCACTAAATCCCAGTGCTTTATAGCAAAGCTGACTAAACTCTAAACTTTAGAAATGATGTATGTACTTCCAGTCTAGTTAAGAGAATGTAATGGAGATAGTGATAATAATTAAGAGTAAGAAATAGAAAAATGAAAATAAGATGTGAGTTTGTAGAAAATATTCTCTTGTTAGATCTCTGTGTTAAGAAATCTTTAGGTGTTGCTAAGTTAAATATATGCTAATGGTAGCCTGTGGTGGTATTCTAATTGTACTGAAATGTGATTTTGATTGTATGTTAATAAATAAAGTTGCCCGGGGGTCAGAGCTATTAGAGCCATAGCCAGAGTGTGGCGGTGGTGGCGCACGCCTTTAACCCCATAGATCTCTGTGTGTTCAGGGATACAGCCAGCATTGGAGACATATGCCTTTAAGACCTGGGGGGCTGTACATACAGACAGTGATGAGGCAGTCACGTGTTTGGGTTTACAGCCAATGAAAAGGCAGAATGACTATGAAACGACTTACACACAGGGAAATAGCTCTCTTTCTGGAAGCCAGGATGACCACAGGAGGAAGGGTGAGATTTTAGCTCTGAGCTCTGACCTCTTGGCTTTCTCTTTTACATTGGTTCTGTGTTTCTTATTTAATAAGATGGTTGGTTACATCTACAGTAGTCCTATATAAGTTTGTAAAATAGATCTATAGAGTTCCTTTAAGAATATAAGCTTGCAAGAAGTATCTAAGGTAGTCTTAAGACATGTAGTAATAAGCTTGTAAGAGGTAAAGATACTAGTTGTAAATGTAAGTTTAAATAAGAAATAAGATAAGAAGTATATAAGAAGTAAATAAATATATTTGCTAAAATACTTCTATAGTTTTCTTAAGAAGTATAAATTAAGTAGATGTTAATACGTTGTATGTGAGTTTGCAAAAACGTGTAAATGTTGAATGTGAGTCTAAATGCTTTGCAAGGCAAAAATGTTATATGTGAGTTTGTAAAGTGTAAATGTTAAGTATGAGTCTATTCTTAATGTATATGGTGAAGGAACCTGAGACACAGAAGGTAGTGTCCTAGCAGACTGCAAAGCAGGCAGTCTGAGTGATTTCAAAAGTTCCAGAAGCTGCTAAGAAGCTAAGAATGGCGGACGCCAGAAGCAGCACAAGGCATCCACAGCTGAGATCCGTGAAAAATCAACGGATCACAGAAAAACCTGAGCTAACAGCAAAAACGGTGCAGTTTAGAATACTGTTGTACCTAAAAAAGGTCTCTGGCTTGAGAATAAAAGTTCAGAGACGCTTGTTTGAACAAAAATTGTTAACTGCAAAAAGTTTTGGTTGAAAAAGTCTCTTCATATTTGGAAGTGAAAGCCTGATACCAGAATTTATTTCTTGTTTGAACTTTTTGAACTTAAAATGAGATAAAATTACAGAAAGATTTTGGTTATAAATTTCTTCATATTTGCAAGGCTAGTACCAGAATTTATCATTTGAATTTTGAGACTTAAGAAATGAAATGAACAATCGAGATTTCACTGCAATGGGACAATTTTGAGCTTACTTATAGTAATGACCTAGGAACTGTTTACTGGAATTGGGATAAAAATGGAACTGTTTAAATGAAGAAATGTATTTCTACTTAGAATCAAGATGCAGTTTTGTGTATGTATATATGCTTTATTAACTGGTTATTTATGAATTGTTTTGTGGAACTGTTTATGTAAAAATGGAATTACTTAAGAAACTGCTTTTGGATGTTTTGCGAAAAGTTTTCAAAGTGTTAATGGTTAGATTGAAAATATTGCTTTTCAATATGGGTTTGAAGGAATTGTATAAATTTGGGTTCCTTTAACTAAGTTTGAGATTTTGTTTAAAAAATTATAAAGAAAAGGAGGAGTTATGAGATTGAATTATGTTCGTAGAAACCTATTGATATTAATGCACCCTGGTTTTGTGGAGTTAAGGAAATATTTAAATTCAATGTGAATACATTGAAGTTTTTCCTATGTTCTGTTAACAAGAAAATTCAAATGATTGAGTTAAAGTTGTAAGACGGAGAAAATTGCTAACTATATATAGCACCATACATGCTAATTCAAATGGTTCTGTTAAGAGTTTGCTTTGAGTTGTAAGATTGGGAGAATTGTGACTGTGTATAGCAATATTTGTTAACCTGTTAATGGTAATGATGAAGCTAAGGGATTCTTTAAGTTTGTAGTC